CCCTATGCTGGACGAGGCGGGCCCCGATGCACCTGAGGCTCTCTGAGATCTCAAGATAGCAGATGCCTCCATGGGAACAGCTCAGAGGGGCTGTCTTCAAAGGATCTGTAGGGAGTCCTTCACATCTTGTCAAGGGCCTCTGGCCCTTGGAGAGAGTGCAGTATGGTCCCATGCTGGGGCCCTGCCCTTCTCACAGAGGACCTCCCTGCCCAGGACACCTGCCTCGAACCCAGGGTATGGGGAGGGCTGGTGGCTAGCAGAGCTCACCTGCCTGCTGGGGGCGGGGCTGGACTGTCTTCGAAGTTGGCTCTGACCTTGGCTGGGCCGCTGTGACCGTCCCTCATCCCGAGCCTGGAAGGCCCCCGGTGCTTCCGACTTCCTAAGAGTAGATGTAGCTGTTCCAGAGGGCCTTTGGGACTCCGTTCCAGCACCCAGCATTCCCAGCCCACCCCAGAGAAGAGACTCATTGAAAGCCCAAAGCGAGGATGACCCTCTCAAGGCCTCAGTTTCCCCTTCTGGAAAATGGGGGCAGTGAGCACCATCTTCTAAGGCCATGAAGACACAGGAGAGTGGAAGCAGCAGGGGGTGGGGGGTGGGGGGGAGGGGGGAGGAAGCAGCTCTTGGCCACGGCTCCCTCCCACCTCCTTCAGCACTTCCTATTACCCAGCAGCCACCCCTGACAAGGGTTAGACTGGGCCCTGTGGGAACTCAGATTTATTGAGCATCTATTGTGTACCAGGCACTGAGCAAAAAATAATCACAATGTTTAAGAAAATATTTATTGAGCACTTCCTATGTTCAGGATGCCAAGCGTTCGTGTGTGCCAGGTCCCACTTAACCTTGCACAGCCTACTCCTGGGACAAGAGAGGGGAGCGTTAGGTGCCTCGCTTTCCGCTCTTTCTCCCCTTTCCCCATCCACATGCAAAGTGAGGATTCCTCCAGCCAGCTGCCTTCGGTGTTCCTCTTGGAGCTCACAGAACTCCAGCACTCAGCTTCGAAAACCCTTCCAGCCATTGGTGAAAGAGCGCCTAGCCAGGTGGCCACAAAGAGACATTCTCTCCAACCCAGCAATCCAGAAAGGTCACCAGCAAATGTCGCCATACCCAACAGAGATCACCTTCAGCCTGCGCCAAAATCCCCGGCTTGTGTGGGTTAACAATGAGTGGCCAGGGCCAGGTGGTGGTGACGCACGCCTTTAATCCCAGCACTCTGGAGGCAGAGCCAGGCAGATCTCTGAGTTCGAGGCCAGCCTGGTCTACAGGGTGAGTTCCAGGAAAGGCACCAAAACTACACAGAGAAACCCTGTCTTGAAAAAAACTAAAAACAAAAACAAAAACAAAAACAAAAACAAACGATCGGCCATGCTTACATTCAACATGGTGTTGCCATTATAAAGCTAACAGACTCTGGGGGCAGTCTGTCCTCTCTCCTACTAAGGGGCAAAAGACTCGGCCTCCATGAACAGATACCTCCTGTGGGGTCTGACTATTAGACTTCATCTAAACTGGTCACGGAAAGAGGTATGTGAGAGACCATAGGGTCCATTCCAAGCACAGCAAAAATAAGTAAGATACATGAGTCAGTGGCCATGGCTGGTGGCTGAGCAGAACCAGGAAGGAGAAACCTTTTCAGCCAGCTCAGGGTGAGTCCCCAAAGGATACCGAGGGGGGCTGTGCAGGTGTCTGTGGGGACTGTCTCTAAAGTCCGGCCACAGCTGGAGAACCATGAGGAACATTGCAGAGGTCTGCAGAGGGAACGGACCGTGGTGGTGATGACGCCTGAGCGATCCTAGTGCTCAGGAGGTGGGGCAGGGAGGCCAGGGGATCAAGGGCATCACTGGCTACATGGAGAGCTGGAGACCAGCCTGGGCTACATGAGACCCTGTTTCAAACCAACTGAAAATGTGGCATCAGGCTTTGCTGTTGTCCTGTGGCCTCTGCTGATGTTCTTAGAATTAGATCTGGAAGCTGTTGGAGTCCTTAGCTGTCCTAAGGTCCCTGGATTCTAAGCTTGAGGGCTCCCTGAATGAGGCTGTTTTCCCCCTTGAGACAGGGTTTCTTTGTGCAGTCCTGGCTGTCCTGAAACTTGCTCTGTAGACCAGGCTGGCCTTGAACTCAGAGATCTGCCTACCTCTGCCTCCCAAGTGTTGGGATTAAAGGTGTGCACCACACCCAGGTGAGGCTCCATTTAAAATCAAAATTGAGGCCTTTGGACAAGTTTCCCCCAGAACTGGGGTCTAGGGCTTCAATGAAAGTCCCCAAAATGATGGGGACCTAGCAGGGAAGCACAAATGTTTGGTCTCTTTCAAACATGCACTTTCCATACAAATTCCAGCTTGCTCAATGGCCATTCCTTCCAATACATCTTCCCCTATTGCTCATAAGCTTTGAAAGACAGCACTGAGGAACTCTAGAAGATTCTGAGCCCCATGCCATGGGAACCCAGCTCTTCTGCAATAGGACCCACCCAGAGCCACCTGTCCCCAAGGGTTGATGTGGCTGCACCGTGGATGACCAAGGAAATAAATTTCCTCTGGATACTTGGATGGGTGTAGGGGCCTCCAAATAGTGTCAAAGAACCAACAGAACAGAACAGAACAGAACAGAACAGAACAGAACAGAACAGAACGGCACACACCTTTAATCCCCAGCACTGGGAGACAAAGGCAAGTGGATCTCTCTATGAGTTCCAGGCTAGCCTGGTCTACATAGCAAGTTCCAAGCCAACCAGGGCTATATAGTGAGACCCTGTTTAAAAACAAAACAAAACAAAGACACCATGTTTAGCAGATCCAAGGAAGACTGTTTCAAAATTCAGGCATTTAAGGGGCTGGGGGTGGGGGGATGGCCAAAACACCAGCCAAATGCCTAAGTCTTTGACATGATCCTTCTAGAAAAATGTCCCAGGCTTAGAACAATGCTTGGACAAAGTAGATGCTCAATAAATATATGTCAGAGGAGAATGGGAGGCAATGAAAAGACAACCCTGCACACCCCCATCCCCCAGCCTCATAAATTCTGCCTCTTATGAAAATACATGCTGTCCTCAGAGGGCAGATGGTATTCCACCCGGAAAAGTACTAGATAGTGAAAATACCCAAAAGTTATAAAACTGAGATGGGAAGACAATATTCTAGGACAGAGAACAGAAGTAACTGTGTGAGCCCAGTGTGGTGCGGTATGGCTGTAATCCCCGCACTCAGGAACCTGGGGCAGGATCTAGAGTCCAAGGCCAGCCTGGGCTACATAGCAAAACCCTATTTCAAAAATGAGTAACTACGAGAGAGAATATTTATGTGTAGACTTATTTGTGAATTCTATTGCAGAGCCAGCATGACGTACTCCTGTACACCTAGCACTTGGGAGAGGGAGACAGGAAGATCAGGAGTTCAAGGTCATCCTCGGCTACCCAGTGACTTCAGTTACAACCTGGGCTGCAACGAGACCCTGTCTCAAACCCATTTCTCCCCTAAAAATGGTTTTCCTTTTTGTAAAGACCAAAGAGAGAAATACACTAGTGTGGGGGGGGGGTCAACAAAGGTTCTCTCTTGGATAGTGAACGGATACAGTTTACTGAAATGGTCATTTGAATAAGAAATAAGACTTCTCACTGGGCGGTGGCGGTGGCGCATACCTTTAATCCCAGCACCGAGGCAGAAGCAGGCGGATCTCTGTGATCCAGGCCAGCCTGGTCTACAGAGTGAGTACCAGGACAGCCAAGGGTGTTACGAAGAGAAATCTTGTCTCAAAAAAAACAAAAACAAAAAAAGATTTCTCATCCAAATTCAGATCTTATAGAAATGTTGCACTCAGGGGCAGTGAAGAGAAGAATCTTACAGTGTTGGAGGCAGGCGGTGGTGGTGGCGCACACCCTTGATCCCAGCACTCGGGAGGCAGAGGCAGGCGGATCTGTGAGTTCGAGGCCAGCCTGGTCTACAGAGTGAGTTCCAGACAGTCAAGGCTATACAGAAACTCTGTCTTGAAAAACCAAAAGGAAAAAGGGGGGCAGAGTGCTGGAAATGCTCTAGAATTATGCCGCCATGAGGGCTGCTCTGTTCAGTCGGATCTAAAGCCCATTAGATAATGCACGAAAAGTTTCCAGCCTTCTAGGCACCCCCCTCCCCTCTCTTGTCTATGATTAGTGGAACTGCATCTCTAAAAATTCAGGGGCTGGCTCTGCTGAGGAGAGAAATCCCAGCCAGAGCAGGAGGGGGATGTTTCTCCTCCCATGTGACCTGCTACTGATGCTTTAGGACATTCACAGGCCACTAGGATTGGATACTCTGTGGCCACGTCCCAGGAAAGTAATCCCTAACTTTCGAAAGTCAGCAACTCTGGGAGCTCTTGTGGACCGCTCTGGGATGGGGGCAGAGGATCTCCTTGGCAGGCGCACGTCTTGGGATCCATCCCCAGCACCCAGAGGAATGAAACCCAGGACATTTATCTACTTAATGGCTCAAACCCAGGGCCTGTGCATGCTGCCAAGCACCCCACCACTGAGCTGCACCCCAGCCATTGGCCACACATGTAAAACAAGCATGTCTGTCTTCCTACAAAGCACAGGGAAAGAGTCATGGGTACTTTCTGTTTCCTCCCTCATGCGGGGAAGAAACACTAAACCCACTGCTCTGGAGCAAACCCTTCAAGAGTTTCGCCTCATTGAAATCGATGTGCTTTTAGTTTCCCCATTTGACAGAGGAAGAAACCGAGGCCCAAGCAGATTCAATTGCTCTAAGCAGATATCACAGGATACCGGGTAGCTTTGACCCTAGATTTAAACTAAGCCTGCCAGACACCAGCTGTTTGTTGGTTTGTAACTACTCGGCTACCCACGCTGTTACTTTAACCTCAGGGGAAAAAAAAAATCCTAAGGGACAGACAGAGAGACACAGTGGCTTGCCCAAGACTACCCAGCCAGTGGGCAGCAGGGCTTGAACTCCTGCTTCTGGAACTTTCCAACTGCTCTCCTCCCCAGCCCACCTGGCTGCCCCGGCCCTGGCTCACCTGCGCTCTTGCCCGAAGAGGCGTTCCACCTCCGCCCGGCCAGGGCTCCGGGTCCGGCCCTCGTTGCTGCCCTGTGCCTGGGGCTCTGGCCCCCTCTGGGCCAGCCTCCGGGGTGGGGGCAGGTCGGCCAGCATGGTGTATTCCTCCCTCTCCAAGTTGTGTCTGGTTTCCCCTGGGGGTGCTGAGCCTCGAGAGCCTGAGCTCCCTGGGGGAGGGGAGGGGGCCAGGAGACCTAGATCACCGGGTGGGTGGCGGGGAGGGGAGGAGGCTCTGGGTGCGTCCCGGTGGCCGATGCACACTTGGGGGGGCAGCAGCGGGGAGCCGTGCAGAGAGTCAATGGAAGGGGCAAGGCTCTCCATACTGGCGCCAGGGGGATCCTGGAAAAAGAGGGAAGGCTCGGGCGCCTGGCGTGGTGGGGAGGAGAAGGAGGGCGCATCTCTGTGTCCGATACATACAGGCGTGGGGACGTGGGGAGGCTCATGCAGAGAGTCTGTGGAAGGGACAAGGCTCTCTGTGCTGGCCCTGGGGAGATCCTGGAAGAAGGAGGGCTCTGGGAACTGGCGCGGTGGGGAAGAGGCCCGGGGGGCATCACGGTACCCGATGCACACTGGTGGGGGAAACTGCGGAGGATCATGCTGGGGGGACTCGTTCTCGGCATCCGATGTGTCTGGGAGGAAGGGGAAGGGGTCAAACTGGGTATGGCGAGGTGGTGAAGAAGCCCGGGGGGCATCACGGTGCCCGATACACACTGCAGGTGGCATGTAGGGGGGTTCGTGGTGGGGCGACTCGCTCTCAGACGAGCGGGGGTCTGGAAAGAAGGGGAAAGGGTCGTACTGAAAATAGCGAGGGGGTGAAGAGGCGCGAGGGGCATCCCTGTGCCCAATGCACACAGCACAGGGTGGCTGGGCGGGCTCTGAAGCGATCTGGGGGGCCCCTCGGGGTGCTGGGTGTGGAGGCGATGAAGTCCGAGAGGCGCTGGGATGGCCTGGGTTATGAGAGGAGGAGGTGGCCGCGGATGGCGAATAGTGCTGAGGAGCGTCGTGATGGGCTAGTTTGGTAGGAGCTGAGGCCGGAGGCCTGTCCCCTTGGGTTGGCCGGAGGGAAATGGATGCCCAAGGCACCTGGCTCTGTTTGGTGCGAGATGGCGATGAGGTTCGAGGACCGTCACTCTGGGTGGGTCGAAGGGGGAAGGAGGCCCAGGGGATATCTTTGTTGGTGCGGTGGGGAGAAGGGTTCCGGGAACTACTCCCCTGAGTGGCCCAGCAGGGAGACGATGCTCCTGGGTTGTCCTTTTGGGTGCAGCCTTGAGAGGAAACCCTGGGGTTGTCTCGTGGGAAGGAAGATGATGGTGATGGTCCTGGGTTGTCTCGCTGGGTGCAGGCGCTTCGGAGATGTTCCCATCTGCTGCAGGAGGCTGTAGTCTTGCCTCCTTGGGTAGAAGGGTTCCTGGGGGTGTTCTGTGGTGTGCAAGAAGTCCTGGGGTTGTCCCTCTGGGTGGTTCTGTTGGGAGAAGAGCTTCTGGGGTTGTCCCTCTGGGCACAGGGAGTCCTGGGGTTGTCTCTCTGGGCACAGGAGGTCCTGGGGTTGTCTCTCTGGGCACAGGAGGTCCTGGGATTGTCCCTCTGGGTGGTTCTGTTGGGAGAAGAGCTTCTGGGGTTGTCCCTCTGGGCACAGGGAGTCCTGGGGTTGTCTCTCTGGGCACAGGGAGTCCTGGGGTTGTCCCTCTGGGTGGTTCTGTTTGGAGAGGAGCTCCTAAGATTGTCCCTCTGGGCACAGGGAGTCGTGAGATTTTCCCACTGGGTGGTTCTGTTGAGAGAGGAGGCTTGGGCACAAGGAGACGATGCAACGTGGGGGCCATCTTGTGGTGTGGAGGTCTTGAGGCTCTCTTGAGGGGCTCTGAGAGGAGAGGACAGCGGAGTGCTGCTTCTCTGGGTGGACATGGTTCTAGGAGTGTCCCTCTGGGAACCTCTTGAAGGGGAGGATGTTCTGGGGGTGTTCCGCTGTGTGGCTAAGGTCCTGGGGGCGTCCCTTTGGGTGTTTCTGGGTAGAGAGGAAGCTTGGGAGGGTTCTTGTGCAGAAGATGCATCCTGGAAAACATCTCTTTGAGCAGAAGAAGCCTGGGTGGCGGTCCGAGGTCCACCCGGTGGTGTCCCGGAGGAAGCCTGGGTTTGCCCTGAGCGATGTCGCTCCAAGGAGAAGTAGCCGCTTTCTGCCCGCAGCTTCGCCCAGTGCTGGCCAGCACTTTCTCCACCACTGCCAGAATCTGGAGAGAAATGAGGATGTTTAAGGTGAAGAGAGGGATCCAGGAAGGACAGAAAAACCCAGGGGCAGCCCCCAGCCTGCTTCTAATAGATTTCAGTGTCTAGTTAAAGAGGTGCACCCTTCCCATTCAGGCTGAGACCAGGCTCAGGCACCCATCTGCTGCCAGGCCAGGGATTCACAATGACTCGTGGAATGGTGGCCAGAGCAAGAAGGTCGTGGATATGTCACAGGAGATCAAGGGTGTAGAGAGCAGTGACCCCAGAGAGGCAGAAGCGGACCAGGAGCGGCTGTCTGATGATTTTGACTCCTCACTTCTACTTCCTGGGTGGGATGTCCACAAATCATCCTCCCTTCTAAGAAATCCTTTTCATGGGTGCCAGGGCATAGTGCCCGTGCCTACGCCCGAGGACTCTTCCCACCCCTCCTGCCCCAGAGGCTCATGCCAGGTGCTGGGAATACGCACAGAGAGGGCACCTATGTGGCTGTGAGGGCTGCAGACGCCCAGGGCTAGCACAGAGCAGAACGGGCACCTAACCAGGCTACCGCATGTGACAGTTAACATTGTCAACAGGATATACTCACCCAGGGGACAAACCTCTGGGCGTGTCTGGGAGGGCGTTGCTAGACTGGGCTGAAATATGGGCAGCATTATCCCATGTGCTGGAGTCCCAGGGTGAATTAAAAGGACAAAAGCAAGCAAGGGCCAGCGAGATGGCTCAGCCGGTGAATGTGCTTGCGGCTAAGCCTGATGACGTGAGTTTGATCCCCAGGACCCACAGGGTGGAGAAAACTGACTCCTCCGGGAGGGAGGTTCTCTTCTGATAGTCACACAAGCTCCTCGGCACACGTGCACACGCGCGCGCGCGTGTGTAAACTCACACCCACACACGAATAAATAAATGAACTTTTAAAAAGCGAGGACACGCAGAGGCAAGGGAGCCTGCGCTGGACACCGGTGGGCGTCTAGGTCGGGTGATTCTCAACCTGGGGGTCGAATGACCCTTTCACAGGGGTCGCCTAAGATGATAGGAAAACACAGATATTGACATTACGGTTCGTCACAGTTGCAGAATTACAGTTATGAAGTAGCAATAACAAAAAAATAACAGCAAGATTGGGGATCACTTGCATGAGGAGCTATATTAAAGGGTTTGCAGCCTTAGGAAGGTTAAGAAACAATGGGGGGGGGCGGTGGTGGCGCACGCGGGAGGCAGAGCCAGGTGGATCTCTGTGAGTTCGAGACCAGCCTGGGCTACAGAGCGAGATCCAGGACAGGAACCAAAACTACACAGAGAAACTCTGTCTCGAAAAAAAAAAAAAAAGAAAGAAGAAAAAGGAAGGAAGGAAGGAAGGAAGGAAGCTGTAGGTACTTCCTGACTGCAGATCCATCGTGACCAGCCATCACACTCCCGCCACCCAGCCTCCCCTGCCATGTTGGATTGTATCCTCCGCCTTCCTTCCTGAAATTTCTTTTGTCAGGTATAAAGCAACTAACACTTTAGGCACCTCAAGGGCGTCAGAGGGGTGCTGGTCTTAGAGACGAATGAGCTGCCCTCAACAGGGACCACGTCACGGCTCCTGGCTGCCGTGAACTTGGGGTCAACCTCCACCCTTTTCAATCCCTTAACCATCAGCTGTGTGTGCTCCCGTCCCTCCTCTTGCAGTAGCAAGCCATGGCTGCCTTCATGAGGACGCTTCTTTCACACTTGACCCCTGTCCCCTCCAATCTTGCTACACTGGTAGCTGGTGTCCCTGAAGTCTGAACTCTCAACACTGGAGTGGCCCTGAGGCGCCTCAAGACGTCCTCTAAATCCATCTGCTTCTGTCATCCCCAGCCCCCCTCGCCCCCCTGCAAGGTCACTGTCATTTTTGCTCAATCTCAGTAGTCCTCCCCTACAGCATGGCTGCTCTTTGCCCAGAGTTATCATCGTTCCCCCACAAAGCACCGTGAGTAGGTCTGTCCTGCTCACAACCTTGAGGGGCAGGCAGGTAAGGACTGGCCAGGAAACTGTCACAGGAGGAAGGACCAGAGAAGATCAGCTGACTAAATGCAGTGAGATCCTGCGTCATGTCTTCTCAGGACAGAGAAGGATTTCGGACTGTTGGAGACTGTAACCTTAGCACTAAACCCCGAGAGATGGAGGATGCCGGAGGATTGCCGCAAGGTTGAGGCTGCCCAGGGTTCCAGAGTTTGAAGCCAGCCAGGACTACAGAACAAGATCTTGTAACAGACAAACAAACCCAAAGGGATCGGAGGAGGAGAAGAAGTGGACCTGATTAATCTGTAGTTCACAGCTATTGTGTTCATGTTCCTTTTTGTTTCTGGGGCTGGAGTCAAGGGTCTCACACTGCGGGCAGGTGCTGAGACACATCCCAGCCCCCACCAACGTTACTGATTTATTTGTTTGTTTGTGTAGTTTGGTTTTTCGAGGCAGGGTTTCTCTCTGTAACTGTAGCCCTGACTGTCCTGGAACTCGCTTTGTAGACCAGGCTGGCCTCAGACTCACAGAGTGCTGGGATAATGCTAATCTCTTCACTCCAGCCTCTGCATACTTGAACGTGAAGCTAACTACATTAGGGAGACCTGGGCCAAGGGTCCAGTAGCCACCATAGCTACCATCTTGGAAAATCTAAGATGATTTCAAAATGAAAGAAAATACCCTCTGGGGGCTTCCCGCGGGATTTGGACTAAGACCCAGGCTGTGCAGGGATTGTCTCCCTCCACACCCCACCCCCTTCCCTCGCCCACTTGCCAGGGTCCAGCACCCACTCTTTTTTTTATTTTTTTCTTGGTTTTTTGAGACAGGGTTTCTCTGTGTAGCTTTGCGCCTTTCCTGGAACTCGCTTTGGAGACCAGGCTGGCCTCGAACTCACAGAGATCCGCCTGGCTCTGCCTCCCGAGTGCTGGGATTAAAGGCGTGCGCCACCACCGCCCGGCCCAGCACCCACTCTTGGAGGTCCTCCAGCACAGCACAGGAGCCTCACCACCCAGGGCCATTGCTCTTGTTGCTGCTTCTGTCTGAAGCGGACAGCATCCTTCTAGAACTTAACGTTTCCTGGCCAAGGGCTGCCTTCCACGTACCCTCCTCATGTCTATTTCCTTGACTACCTGCTCTTCCCCTAGCAGCCCTGTGTGATACGGCCTGGTGTTCCCATGGTGCCTCTGGGACTTGCAGAGGTTTTCAGCACCCAGTAGGTGTGCAGTACACACAGTGCTCCCACCTCTGGTTCTGTTTCTGCCTCGTCTGCAGTGACCTTACCCTTTGTGCCATATATTGGCTTGGCTGTCTCCTGCTACCCCACATCAAGATGCCCTAGGAGCCCGGTTCTCACAGGATGAGGCCTCCATGCAAGACCGGTACACAGCTGTGCTTGGGCAACCTGTGTCTTGCATCCCCCTTTCCCCCAGTGAGCGGCCCGACTGGGACGTGCTCAGTCCCTGACTGCAATATTGCAAGTAGCCACTAGGTGGCCAGCGGCCACAGATTCTAAGTAGGTCACAGAGAGGCTACCACCCACTGCCCAGGGACTTTCAAAGCAAGAAAGCAAAGCCTGGGTGTGTGCGGCCTGTCTGTAATCCCAGCACGGAGGAAGCAGAGACCGAAGGATCAGAAATTCCAGACCAGCCTCAGCTACATAGAGTCCAAAGCTCACTTAAGCCAGGATCACAGACATTGCACCCCCACACCCAGCTGGAGCATTTTAGCATCAGGATTTTAAAAGGAAGGGATGAGGTGCTATGTGCTCTTCTGTCCCCAGGCCTCACAGGGAGGGGTATTTTGTCCCACATGGGGACACTAAGTGGCCTCTTTGGCTGCGGCAGCATCTATCTGCAAAGCTCTCCAGCCTCAGGGAGCCCCCCCCCCTTGCAGGTCAAGTGTGGCGGGAAACCTCTACCGTGCGATTCAGCATCAGCCAGTGACAACTCCGGGCTGAACCAGGTGTTGCTAGGTGGCTCACGTGACTTCCCATTCTCCTGCCTCACTGGGCTCCAATGCATTCTGACTTGGCACCCAGCACCATCCCAAGGCCTAGGTTCGATAACATTACTCCTCACCCCCTGCCCAAACCTGGCTTAGAGAAGAGAATCTCAACCCCTTGGCAAGGCCGAGGAGGCCCAGCACAGCCTGCCCCTGGCGCGCACCCCATCCACGTTTAAACTGCAGCTGCTAATGGGCCACATAGTCCTGCCTCCTTGTCCGGCTCTCCTCGGTCCTAACAGCCCTCCTCTCCTGTGCCAGCCCTGTACCCATCTGTGGTGACTTGAATAAAAATGACCCTCCATAGCTGGGCAGTCATGGCGCACGCCTTTAATCCCAGCACTCGGGAGGCAGAGGCAGGCGGATCTCTGAGGCCAGCCTGGGCTACAGAGCGAGTTCCAGGACAGTCTGGGCTACACAGAGAAACCCTGCCTGGAAAAGCAAAAAGGACCCAAAACAAAAGACTCCTTCTCTTCCCCCATGCCGGTGTCTGCTCCTCCTCTCTCCTGGACCACTAGAGCTAGCTTCTGTCTGTCCTTTGCTAGATGCTGAGCTTTCCAGGGCAAGGGTCAATCTAACTCCCCCTGAGATCCCAGAGCATCTTCTCCCAAACTTCACACATGCATATTGATGAGACTCCTTAAGGACCATGGAAGCCAGGACTGCCATCAGGGAAGGTGGTGGATGTTCTGACATTCTAGCCCCAACTCCTGACCCACTGAAGAGAGATACCAGGGCCAGAATTGGGTGCCCACTATACTGAACTCACATCCCAGCAAGATGCTGGCCAACCTCCCCAACCTCCGTGAACTTGGCATAACAGTAGTCCCCTCCCCCATCTCTCTCTGTCTCTGTCTCTCTTTCTCACAACAGCACCCTGGCTTCCTCTGGGGATTCTCCCCTCCTCCTAGCTCAGGCTGTGGGGTTTGCACAGGAGGCCAGACTTGGTGATGGAGATGATCCCCAGTGTTCCCTGGGATAACCCTTCCTGAGACTTAACTGTGGTCATAGGAAAGATGTGCCCTTCTTCCGTGGGACACAAGCTGGCCCCTCTGGTGGTCATCACGTTATTACTGGAGAAATGTTTGACCAGGAATGAAGCCACTTCCGTGGAAGGCAGAATGGAGAGATCTGGGTACCGTCGGAACTCCTGGGTCCAGCCACCCCTGGAGTCCTACCCTTACCATTCTACTTATGGCAGGTGTTCCACTTGGGTTCAGCCAGCTTCCGCCTCTTAGAACTTTGAATTCCCAATCTTTCAACTAAGGAAAGCGTCCTTAAGTTGGGCAGCAGGGCACATGATATAAGAACTTCTATTATTAAGATTCGGGCCCTCGGGGTTGGAAAGACAACTCAGTGGTTAAGAGCACCGACTGCTCTTGCAGAGGACCTGGGTTCAATTCCCAGCACCCACATGGCAGCTCACATCTGTCTGTAACTCCAGTTCCAGGGGATCTGACACCCTCACACAGACATACATGCAGGCAGAACACCAATGCACATAAAATACAAATAAATAAATTTAAAAAGAGAGAGAGATTCTGCCCCTCAAAGGAAGCCGAGGCAGTGAGGTGACTGTTTGCGGGTCACCACTTCATGGTCGTGAGACCACCCTGGAAGTACTCACCCTCCTTTCTCTGGCCCGCTGTGTCTCCTCTGGCCGGGGACCTGGTGACCCTACGAGCACTATCAGCTCTCAGCCCCTCCTGAGGCCTCCTTGGGATCATCACGTTGAGTCTGTCCCCGTTGGGGACCACCCCTGGCCTCTCAACAGTGTCCCAATCCTGCTGGGAGAGGAAAGAGCTGCCGAGGAGGAGAAGAGGGCCCCATGCCTGTATCCCAGCATGAAGGGCAGAAGAAGAGGTTTTTAAGGGCACCTGCCACCTGAGTGGGGCTCTCGGCCGGTGATAACTCAGCGAATCTTCTGTCAACCTTGAGAAAGAGGACCAGCCATTGAAATCAAAATCTGGGCCAAAGTCACACGAATGGAAGAAATGGGTTCAAATCCTAGGCCCTACTGCTTCGCAGCTGGGTGGTCTCAGGTGAGTTACTTCCCTGTTCTGGGCCTCCTCCCCTAAAAGGACCACAGCAGTCTCTAGCATAGAGGGTGATGGAGAGCCATGCAGGAGCTCAGATCCACTGAGACCTCTGCATGGTACCCACCACACGTGTGAACAGGCTGGGTGGGATGTTTATGTGGAGTCCATTCTTCCCTGTCATTTCATGGAGGTTTTGGGGGGGGGGGTCTGAGCCTCTTGGCTCCCCTCTCCCACCAGCTCCTGCCAGTCCCCAAGTCTGTTCCCTTCCCTCTGCCTTTGGAAATCAGCACCAGGACTGGTCACGGTCTCAGTCTCAGCGGCATGTGGCCAGGGCAGAGCTGGGGCCAGCCTCACGCCTGCTTCCCAGCCCTGAGACCTGAACCGACTAGGGAGTCACCCAAAGTCCCTACTGGACTGAAATGCCTCCGTCCACCTGTCTACACTACACCCCACCCGCCCCCGAGGCAGCCCAGCAGAAGCCGCACCCTCCCATCAGCGATGGCAATGGCCAAGCCTGGCCCAGGGTTCTGCTGTGAGAGGCTCAGCCCTCCTCTGGAGGTTTAGCGCTCTTATCTCCAGGGCCGAGGACCCTGGGTGACCTGTTCTTGTTCCCAGATTCTGGCCCTCAGCTCACCACAGAGGAAGAAGTGTTGGTATCATGAGGGGTGCTGCTGTCCTGGCTGGAGCTGGTGTCAGAGTTGGGGTCCTCGTTGTCCCAGCTACTACAGGTCGAGCCCTCCAGATAGGGTACCACCTCAGGGGCCTGGGGCCTGTTCCTTGGGGCAGTTGCAAGGCCCTCTGCAGGGAGAGCTGCTGTTGGAAACCAGACCCTGGGAGAGGAGAGAGACCAATTGTTTTCCCCTAAAAGGCAACAGCGTCAGGGACTGGGTCCTGCCTGCCCCCCAGGGACATGCAGGTGTGCTCATACCATGCCAGGGGCTGCAGCCACAGAACAAGAAGCCAGTGCTGAGGACATTGGGTTGGGCTCTATATGGGCCACCTCCTAGAGCTGTAGCAGCCTCCCAAGGGAGAGAGTCCCACCATATAGATGAAGAAAGCCAGCCCTGAGGGGTCAAGAGCCCGGCCAAGGCCCCATTCCCAGCCCCTTTCAGTGAACAGGTGTGGGGACACTGAGCCAGGCTGGCAGGTGAAGGCTGTTCAGTGTTGTGAGGTAAAGTGTGTTCCAACGGCAAGAGCTGTGGAAACGAGTGCACTGTACAGAAGTGGTCCCTGTGGCCCCCACTCGAGAGGCGTACAGCTCACGGCATTCCCAAAGTGACCCACACACGGGCCTATAAAATAGTAAGGCGTCATGACGCGCTAAGAGATCTATAGAGAAGGAAATACAGAACATTCTACATACACCCCAACCTTCGCGCCTCAACCACGCAATGCAGGTTGGCAAATCATACACGCTGACAGTCCTACAGGACAAATTCCTCGTAATTTGTCCTGGACTTCCTGAAATACACCGACTGTCAGCGCCTCCCTTTTCTCTTTCTCTTAAAATGATGCCCACCCGAGGGGAACACGTGCCTTCAAACAACGAGGAATTGGTCCAGCCACTCTTTTTTAAAACTTATTTCTGCAGTACTGGAAAGCAAACCCAGGATCTTAGGCACACCACCTGTCACCGCGCTACACTCTCAGCCCATCTTGCTTTACAAACAGGAAAAGTGAGGTATAAAAAGACGGAACAGCATGCCAAAGCTCCCACAGTCCATCACAGCAGACGTGAAACTGGGATCCAGCTCTCTGGACCCCCAAGCCACGGCCTCCCAAGGTCTCATGACCCCAGTAAAGAACTTGGGGTCTGTTCCGGCCTAGAGGGGTGACAGCAGGTACCCTGGCTGAGAGGCCCCTTCAATCTTTTAGGGGGTTGGGGGGAAAGAATCTAGCCATGTAACCCAAGCTAGCTTTGAGCTCCAAATCCTCTTGCCTCCACTTCCTGAGTGCCGGTATCACATCCATCTGCCACCTCACCCAGCTCCTTCAATCTTTTAAAACCGCACACAGGAACCAGGAGATGTACATAGCTATCCCCTACCCCATGGAATTATGGGACAGTCCGGGCCATCAGGAAAGACAGCCAGGGTCAGGGTCAGAGACACAGATAAAACAAGAACAGGTCAATGTGAGCTTCCCAGGGGTCCCAAGGACCCCTGAGAAACATTCGCTGTCAGAGTCCTCTGTGCCCAGACTGTGTGGGCTGGCCACGTGACCCATGCCAGCTGTTGTAGATGGACACTGCCATCATGAAGAGTTGCATGTAGGGAAAGTGTGGGTATTCTCCCCCCAAGGAGCCCGTCCATGGAGCCGGGGGCTCTACCCACCTCTGAGACCCCTGCCTGAGGCCAAGGCCTTCCACAGAGTGGCCAGCACAGGTGGTGGTGTCGAGCGGGTCCTGAGGGGCCGGTGGGCAGCAGGGCAGGTCGCAGTAAGGGGCCTCGGCACTGGAAGGGCTGTGAGGCTTCTGGGCCCGCAGTGGAGAGAGGAGACAGCTCAGGCCCACGTGGGACTCCCCTTCTCCCTCCCCCAGACAGCCCCTCCCAGCTGAGACTGGTGGGTGTCTCCAGAAGTCATCTCCTGGGATCTCCTGCTCAAGACCAGCCACTCCATCAGCTGGAGGTGCCCTGGGGACTCTGATTAGAGTCAGCAGGGTACCTCAAGTACATATGCACACATGTGTACATGCATGGGTCCAGGTACATGTGTGTGTGTCTATATGCGGATAAATACCTGTGGTTTGGGGCACCCATGTGTTACATCATTATTGAGGGATATGTGTCCAACTGCATGTATACAAGCCTGTCAGCTACACCAATGCATATATGTGTGCAAGATCATACAAACACAAATGTAAGTGTTCATGCCTGAGAATGGGAAATGCACCAAAGGCCCCAATGCAGCCTTGCATCCAGAAAACGAGAGGGAAGGAGAGAACTGGCCTCGTCTGGAATGGAAGAAGGGGTCTGAAGGAGGAGGGGCCAGCAAGATCTAGAAGAAATGAAGGGTTCTGTTCCATTACAGGAGAGGCAGGGACCCCAGAGTAGAGGGTCACAGCCCCAAGCTGGAGGTGCGCCCTTGGCGCTGCCCACACCACAGCAAGGCCACCCCTGGAAAGGCTGGTATTGGGCTCAGCCAGAAGGAACGGCTGCTCCCCTCAAAGAAGGCCCCCCCATTCCCTCCACCTCCCAGAATGGCGGGGCCCTCCCCTGGTGGTGGGAGACAGGGCCATGGCACCTTGTGCCCCGCCTCCTCTCGGGTTACCTGGGCAGCGGGCTCCGGCAGTGGCAGCTGGCGGCTGTCAGCACCCTCGTTCCCGGGGGGCTCCGGCTCAGGCCCCCACACTGCCGCCCGCCCAGGCCCTGACTCTGGGCCGTGGTGGCTGTGGTGTTCCAGGCAGCAGAAACCCTAGAGGGGCCAGCCTCGGGAGCAGGGCCCTTCATTACTGTTTCATAAGCCGGGGCCCAGCCAAGAACAATGCAGGACACGAAACCAGAGGAACCCGATCCTGGCGGCTCACCTGAGAGCAGGCCCGGTGGGAGTCTCCCTGGGGACCCTGGAGCCCGGCGGCTGGGACAGAGGCTGTAGCCCAGGCAGTGCCCTGGGTGGGCAGAAGTGCTCTAGAATTCAAGAAAGCCACCATGAGCCAGGCCAGGCTGGGATGAGGAAGGGCTCGGGGTCTGCAGCCACATCCAGGCCAAAGAGAGCCGATCAGGATTCAGTTTCACACCTGCCCCATAGCCAGATTCTGATCAGAGCCAGGCAGCTGGAGGTGTCAGATCCACAGCCGGGCCTGGCGCCTTGACTACCCAGGGGACAGCATGGCATGAAGGCCGGGAGGGAGCGGACTCTCAACCCTGCACTTCCAAAGGCCCCACCCAGCATGCACCCTGGGCTGACATGGCACCTGGTTCTTGCTTTCACCCTTAGCCCCATCCCCTCCCCCTGTTCATGTGACTGGGTCCAGTGGTCAGTCCCCAGCTCTGATTTCCTGCCCAGTCAGTGTTCACAGTCTCTGCCTCTAACAGACCTGGGTTCCATCCCAGCTGGGTGACCTCACTCAGTGGCTTCCCTTCTCTGGGCCTTACTGTCAATGAAAGGGAGACAGAGGTGTGATCAAGACCTTGGCTAGGTGACTTGGCCTCAATTGTGTCACCTATAAAACTGTCATGCTAACTCCAGCCACCCCCTAGGGGACAGGAGGAAAATTACACAAGGTGACATTTGTCTATCATAAACACACACACAAAAAAAAAACGATTGAGAACATTAAGAAGAATCTTACAAATGTTAAATTGGTAGGATAATATTAAATACAATTAAGAATAAATAAATTAGGCAGACCTGGTGATGCAATGCCAGAACTAAGATGGGAGGATTATGAGTTCGAGGCCAGCCTGGGCTACATAGAGTCTGTCTGAAAAGGGCAAGTGGGGACGGGGCTGATGATAATAGATTATAAAGGTCCGTATGGCCCTAGCATAAAGCAAGGCCCTCCCACCCAAACAAACTATCCCCCCTCTCACCCAGACTATCCTCCCTCCCTCCAAACCTGGCCATAGCCTGCTCAATACCATGTGACTTCCGGGGCTCAGCTTCCACCAGCCCCTCCCCCGCCTCCAAGCCTGTGGACTCAGGTGTGTCTGGAGTCCGAGGGTTTCAGAAGCTGGAGATGCCAAGAAACTGGGTACGACCAGCAGCTAATCATTTCCAGTAGGTCATAGGGGACACTTTGTGACCACAGCCATTTCTACACATTCTAGAGCAGCTGAAGCCATGAGCAGGGAGGCCTAGGTGGTAGATGTGGTGGGGACGTAGCTAGGGGCCACGTCTCTCAGGCCAGTGATGCTTTTAAATAGAGACCTCTTCTGTGCTCCGTGTGTCTGGATTGAAAGGTAGAAGCAAATGGGGCCAAGATTCCAGAATCCTTCGGGGCAAGGTGGGGCCCTGGCTACATTCGGTTCCTTGGAGACGTGCTATAAGAATGATCTGGAGGGACAGTGGACAGTACAGACAGAGCACGTGCCTTCACAGCAGCACTTAAGGGCAGGCGCCAGTGCCCTGGCAGATGCCGGCTCCAGCCACTGCCTCCCACCTAATGGGGTTCAGGGAAGCAGCCAGAGAGGTTCAGAAGAGGTGACTTGATAAGGGTCAGATAATAACCTGGCTTGTTAGCAGAGTGGCGGCCACAGCACACATTATTATTTTTTTAATTTTATGTACATTGGAGTTCTGCCTGAATGTGTTTCTGTGCGAGGGTGTCAGATCCCCTGGAACTGGAGTTACAGACACTTGTGAGCTGCCATGTGGGTGCTGGGACTTGAACCAGGGTCCTCTGGAGGAGCAGTCAGTGTGCTTAACCTCTGAGCCATCTGTCTAGCCCTGGTGATGCACACCTTTAATCCTAGGACTTGGGGAGGCAGTGGCAGGCAGATCTCTAGGCCAGCCTGGTCTACAGAGTGAGTTCCAGGACAGCCAGGGCTGTTACACAAGGGAAACAAAAAAACAAAAAAAAACAAAAAATAAACAAACAAACAAACAAACAAAAATAAAAAAAATAAATAAAACCCTGACTTGTTTTATGTAATGTCAGAAATGGATGGAAGTCATGGACTTGTTCATGTTAGGCAAATGTCCTACTTTTTTTTTTTTTTTTTT